GTTAATTTTTCTTTTTTGTGAAGCACATCTCTAAGCCTATAACTTTCTTACTGTATGAGCTAGCAGGGTCAATCAAAAGCCATTTTGTAGAGCGTGTTTTACTGCATCTTTTCTTTATAGAGACAAATTTTCAACCATGTGTTTTGCTAAAGAAAAATTTAATATTCAAATCGAGTCAGGACTTCTAGACCACCCTTTATACATCTTACAGATGAATGCGAAGCAAATCTATAATAATCCTCGTGCTGCATGTTGAAAAAAATGCAAAAAAGCAAGGTTAAAATACACAGAAAAGACAATCGAGTTGTTTCAGTCATAAATGAGAAACCACGGTATTTTGCTGATATTCCTTGATTAATTTCTAAGAGTAGCATTGCTAGAACACTGTCTCAACCAATAATAATTATATACGACAAGGACACATCTCAACAAGAAACAGTAACATTTTTCTCTATTCGAATTTTAAAGGTCTAAAATAATGAATGTCTGAAAGTCGCTTTAGGGTTTTAACATTCCTGGGCCTGTGAGACAGTCTGAAGAATATCACTTGTTCTTATTATATGCTTAAATCATCATTATCAATCGTGTTTCAATTAGAAGAAACCATTAAGCTTATCTTTAATTTAATTTTAATATTTTTTATATTCATTTAGTGCATCAAGAATTTGCTGCACCAGGTACTTTCAAAGAGCTATATTGTAAGGGTCGTCATTGTACCAATTGCGGCAAATGCCGTGATTGGTACTATACTGGCACTCTGGCAAACTGGCAATGGATCCAGAATGTCAACAATTGGGATAGCGGCGATCGAAAGCATTGGAGAAATGATAAACATTACAAACTCTTCCAACGTCGTGATGGCTATACATGTACTGATGATCTTCTTTATCTTCGTCTTGATTATCATCTTCGTGATTATTATTGTTTGTGCGACGATAACAGGCGAGTGTAAAGTTGTAATAGATATTCTGTCGTTTTGTATGAAAGAACATGAACCGTTGTTTTTCATGTAAAAGAGAGTTTTACTAGAGCTTTAAAAAAAAAATATAGTGTGCGTAACGAACTAGCTTGTAGGACAATAAACACATGGCCCACAGGTGCGGGCGCAGCCCGCACAAAAGTGGGATAGTAGTCGGAGGGATACACCTGGGGGGATCGGGGGGCGAAGCCCCCCGGTCGCTTTAGGATTTCTGTTTTTTTGAGGATAAATTCCATGGTTAAAAATTAACGGTGAAGGGTTTTTGATAAGCACCTGTCAGATGTAAGAAACTGTTGGTAGTGTGCCGTTGCATTTATCAATGCATAGTTTCAGTATAAATTGGTAATATCACATTGCAGTGTATTCGATGGTTTTCATTTATGTGATGACATGTAATACAAGTGAATACATATTGTGGTTCATAGGGTAGATGTGATAAATGTGCCTATTTGTACCGTTTTCAGAATTATTCTTTGAATGAAATGAAATATCGTGTGTTTGTTCTCGAATTTGTATTGTGGTGACGTTTTTTGTTAGCTATGTAAACTAAGTAATTTGTTATTAAGGATTGTTCTAAGAATGCAATACTGGTTTCTAACCATAGTATAATGTACGCATTCAAAGTTTAGTTCGTTTCGTAATTTATAGGAATTTGTCTAGTTGAAGAAAACGTTTGAACTGTGTTCGATTATTGGTTTACGGGATGTGTTAGTAGTGAAGTTAGTGCCCTGTGGATGCGTTGAAAGTTATGCACTTGTTACACAACATAACTGATAATTTAATTATCTTGATTTGATCATAACCATAAGCATGCAACAGCGCAAGGGGCCATCTAAACGTGCATGTTTTAATTTAGTGAACAAAACATAATTCAAAATCAAAACCTACCATTTCTGTAATTGTTTATTACCAAGGCCACTGTTTCATTCACATTGAATGGATACTTACTACTAAGACGCAGTTTAACACTTAAATTCTGTTCAGAACATACAAAATGTTGCTATCTGTTACTCTCTAAGCGCATACTTTCGAAAACCCGTAACGCAGAAATGAAGTATCTTGAAAAGGTCACAGTAGTGTTTTTGTCTGACACTTAAACTCGTTATCCAAAAGCCAGGTGAGAAACTACGACACGTACATACATTCACATATTACATATTTGCTCCAACAAAAAAAAACTGTGTGAAATAGTAATCTTTGCTATAACCGTTCAAGTATTATCGATATTCGATCTATATATATTAGTGACGTTGACACAACGGAATACTTTCACCATTCTCCGCATTATGTCTCAACATTTTCATCCTTCATCAAGGCACACATATATCCAAATTCAATCACGAGAAAGATCACAAGAAAGATCTCACAACAACCACCAGAATCTATGAACCACAGTACCCAAAGCTTCAAATTCTCTGCTAAACTTATGTTCGATTTAGTACCAAATCGTGACCCAGTATCCTCAACCCTCATTTCGGCATAGATTGCGTCTTCCTCCCGAAAAAATATCCCTCGCTTACACAAAAACTTAGCATGCGAAAATCAGACATGAATATCACAAACAAGACTGTAACAAGTTTCGACCATAATACGCAAACCCATCTCATAAATTGTATCGTCTTTCCTTAGCGACCATAACCACATTAACCGCTCAAACACAAAACGAAACTCAGTCGTCCGATTCATTCCCTATGCAAATTCTAGCCATAACTTTCAAAGACATAATATACTCCAACTAAGATGCGAATAAAAGCTGATGAAACCATCAATTCGCAAAAACAATTATCCAAATCAAGATAAAGTAGGTAACATTATCACGGCATCAAAAGCGACACATCCAAATAAAGCAAGAAAAACGTGCACTAATCCAATCCATGTACCGACATGTACATAGCAGCCTTCAGGAGCATTTAACTACACCTAAAAACATCATAAAAACAATTTCTAAACGACCAAAAAATTTCGTCACACTCACCTGCAATAAGCCACATAAAACCGACCAAACCCACACCAAACGAACCCAATATCGAACTAAATTCCACAACAGCCTGCAAGAATAAAAGAGCTAACGATCCACCTGGCTCACTGAAAAAACACATGAATACAACCGACACCTAAAAACCACGCAACTAACCGACCACAAACAAGCGTCCCCACACCAACACACACAACTCAGAGTACTCTTTCCAAGTCAATCGCCTGATCCAAAACTACACAGCCAAGGGATATCATTAACAACAAAATTATCACCCATTTCCGTAACTTCGAAGCAAAGGTTGCGACTCGGTCACCTTATCCAACATCACATGCCTAAGGAACATTCATAATCATACTTCTGTTCGTGTGTGTTAATCGGTTGGAAAGATGGTTGTGATCGGCTGAGCTATTGTTGAGAAGTATGTGTTTGAGTGATGGCACTAAGGCGCGTGTTCTTCTTTTTTGTGGATTTGCGTTTTGTGTTCCAGATTGGTGTTCTGTTCAGAGGGTTAGTTTGTCGATTCTGGGATTTCTTGGTTATAGCGATCTGTATCGGTAGGTGGGGGGAGTGGTGGTGTGAGTCTGGAAACAAATGGTATTGTGTTAGTGTTATATTGTCGAGAAGTATACAGTCGGAGCAGAAAGCAGCAGATACGAAAGTTTGAGATGCTATCGTGCATCCTAGGAAACTAGGACAGAGTTTAGGCATGTGGAGATAGCTCGAAACGCTGTTTTGGTTTCGTATAATTCTCCATACAGCCCCCCTCCCCCCTCCCAGAATAAAAGGCATGCCCTTTTACAATGTCTCGGCACATCGTTACTTTTTCCATGGCCTTCTAATTAGGATGATCTTGTAATACGTCTAAAATTTAAACTGTTGTATGTTTCAATAAATGTGGTTTTTGTTTTTTTTTTCATAGTAGAGATTAATTTTTTTTCCAGATATTGAGTAAAGGCTTTTTCTTTGTATTCTTGTCAAGATTTCGATTGTGCTGTTCTATGGCTTTGCGAGCTTCTTCAATACGTTGATCATCGGCTATATTTGAATCTTTGTTAGTCGAATAATCAGCATTGATTGGATCAAAACAATAACCTGGTATACATGGAGGTGGTACCAGACTGTTATCATTCCACACGTATTCCAGTTCAAGAAATGATGCCATTGGATCAATACTATTTAGCGTGCGAGATCAAGCTGATGGCACGAGTCGAGTGCACAATATTCGCGATTGTGCTGCAGTTAATTTGATCTTCGGTCGACTACCGTTGTTTTCAATCCATTCTTCGGCACATTCGTAGTGATGGTGTTTGAATGTAGAAAATACATGAACATCCAGTGATTGGATGTATATTGTACAATCTTTCGAAATTACAGCAACAACAGTTCATTGTTTGCGCATGAGACGAATTGTGTCTTCGTTTAAAAGAGGAGACGATGTATCTGTAATAAACAACTTTGGTTGTCCATCGTTCACTTTTGAGTACCACTAGCTAATATACTTGTCCATTGTTCTGAAAGTATAAAAGATGACAACATATTTTTGATAAGGAAAAGAGGTGTCTTGTGTGAACAACTTACGATCGGTTGTTGAATGATTTTGGTGTGAAGAACACTTTTACTTTAGATGCATATCGCATCTTCTCATTGTCACTCATCTGACCTTTTCCTTTGAACAAGACAACTGGACCCATACGAGTGTTATCTTCAGCAAGTAACGTTAGTATGGCAGTATAAAATCGTTTGTCTGATATGTGACCTTCAATTTCATTTATTGTGTTCATATCATTGATTTATAATTTTGTTTGGTCACCGAGTAAACTAAGAGGACTTTCGTCCATATTTACCACGTCACGAGGTAAGAAGGCGCTCATAGCACCGCGTTTTGGACCCCATGTACTAGCACGCCTGATGTATGTATGAAATGATTTGATAAGTAGATGAACCTCATAGAGTGGCACCTTCTGTTGTCTTGTTGGTTTTTGCAGGGAGAGACAATAGCGGCGCATGAATCGACCATACCACTTCGTCGATGATGGATGCTCATGCTTGAGTTCGATACAAAGTTGTTTGCCACGTCATTGTAATTGTTTGAATGTTACTTTTTCTCGTTTAACAACGATCGGTGTTGTCGTTGTAGATGCATTTGACTGAATGGTAGGAGCAGTACGACGTTCCCGGAACCATTCGAGAAGCAATTTATCGAGTTCGGGATACTGTAGCTTGTATCCAGCACTAGGAAGCCGTTTTCGTTTGCGTCCTATACTCAGTCAAAGTAAGAAAGAATTAGAGATGCAAGAGAGATCAGTATCATAATCCGTAGAAGAATAAAACTCACCATTTTTTTGCTTTGATAGTTGACTAAGATCTTCTTTTTGTTTTACACATTGAGATAATTGATATCTTGAGCAACGTTCCTTTTTTTTTACGTGAGCAGTTTATTATCAGCAGCTTTTTCCAACATATGGACGGCATGTAGCTTCTCTGCAGTTGACCATTGTCGGCGTTTACGCTTGCATGATGGACTCTCATCCATCAAGTTAGATACAGCTGTTGATGAGCCAAGCAAGGACGATTGATCAGTTGATACAATATCTGCATTCAGATCATTTAGATCTTCATCGAGTTCAGTATCATTTGAGTTCAAGACTAAATTCGACTGTTGAATATCAGTTGCCTCTTCGTTATTGTTATCTTCGTCATCATCATCGAGATTAAAATGATTCTTGATCGAAATGGCAATATTGTCTGTTTCATCAACGATCGATATCACGTCAAGATCAGATTCATCGGAACTTGTGTCATTATGATCATCCGATTCGATTTGTGGTAACGTATACCAATGACAGTCAGTGTTCATGGTAAAAAAAACTTGGAAGTATCACAGAAGAGAAATACTAATCAAGACAAGTTAGATAAAGTTTAATTTGATAAGTGGTGAAAAATGACTCTATTAGGAAAAATATTTATACAAGAAGTGAACAAATGAAAAGATAACTGAGCAACAATGAACAATAAAGAGAGAAAGCTATTCATTTTCTTCTTACAATGATAATATAGATCAAGAAAAGAAATAGAACATTCATATACAAACGAGACAGAAGAAAGAAAAGGAATGATGAATATATAGACGAATGTATTCTCAAGGACAATATGTAACAAGACGACGTTTACTCTTTCGATTTTTTACTATTGTTTATCTTTCTCATTTATTCATTTAGACAAGCGGACTCCGCCATATAACAATGCACACCCGGACGTCGTGAAGATGATCCACGTTATCTTCTTTTTCGTTTGTGATGTGGCATATGGCTAGCCTATTCGAGTCTGAGAAATTGCAGACGTATTAGAAGGCCATGGCCTTATACAGGTGGTGGCCACCTATTGGGGGGTTAGCGTGTGAAATAGTTGGCTTGGTTATTCTTTGGTCTTTGTATGAGTTTCGTAAGACGATTGGAAACAGGGTTAAAGAATTGTGGGTTTTTATATTAAGGTTTGGATGGAATATTATAATACTCGGAAACTCTAGATTTGTTTAGAGAGTTTCTCATATTATATGATACGCTTTCAAAGATCTATGAAGCAGTGGGAGCACTATTGTTAGAGATTCTAGTTCGTTTTTTATCTGTAAATTTGTGTTTCAGTTCCGTAGTATGCAAGAAAGACTTTTGAAGTGTTGTGTCCCCAAATCTATTTTGTTTTCGGTGTGCAATGGATAAGATGTTCATTGATATTGATAGAAAACTCATAATAAAGTTGTTAGGATTCTGTTGTCGCGAGTGAACTTCTTTGTAACTTATGAGTATTTCGGTTGAACGTCTTTTTAATTTTAAGATGCTCGTGGCGAATATTAAGTCGTTATGTTGAAAGCTATGGTAGTAAGTACTTTGAATAATAATGTTTGCTGAATTTAATGGAGATCACGGGATACTCTGTACACCGTTTTGGTGATTTGTATTAGGCATAGTTGTATATTTGTAGGATAGGGTGTGATGCCGTTCCTATTGAGAAGCTCGATTGAAGTACGTGGAAAATCAGCGTGTAGAAAACTATGTTAAGTGTTGTCGGAAACTATGGGATACATCTGCATGACTTGTTTGATATTCCATTGGGAGTTGACCAGTTTTTAGCATCTGGGCGTAATCGGTAGATAAAGTGGCTGGTGCTGACTTTTTCTACTAGCGGTCTTTGTTTAGGCTTCTCAGTTGGTTCCGAAATTTTTGTCTAGAAGTTCGGTCAGATTGTTTGATGGTGGAAAATCTATATTGTTCAGGATTTAGAAGAATTGTTATAATTGTGTTTGGAGTTTCTCACGTAACAGTGCAAAATTGATCATGGTTTAATTGAATATTTTTGTTGTTTAACAATGTGCAAATAGATTGTTTATGTATATATTGTCGATGAGCAGTAATGGGCAGTTGAAAATAGAAATTTCATGCGTAGAATATGATCTAATCGAAAACATTTTGAGCATTAGAAGTCATCTATGCTGTCTAGATGCTGTAAACTCCATCGTCACCTTCTGGAACAACCATATTGTGATAATTTATGCTATGATCAATTAAGCTTCGTTTATGATGGTTTGATTATCGTTGCCATGTTCCTCTGGTTCTTTGTTTCAATATATCAGTCGAATCACTCATTGTATGAATTCTATCGGTAATTCTTTTCTTCATGCGGATGATTTGTATTCTGTAGGTATGTTTAACCCTTTGAAGACCCGTGGGTCATATTTATCCCACCTATTTTTTAGTAAAGAAAAAAGCGTTTAGTTCACATTAAACTATTAAATACGTAAGGTCATCAAGGTCATAAACAACTGCATTTGTCATCTCATACTTTTCTTGTCTTTCTTTCTTTACTTCTCTCATATAAACTCTTTTCAAATATCCTTTGTTCTTGCTGCTAAGGTATAGTGACGTCATAATTTCTCTCTTCTCCTCTGATCTTTTGTTTTTCGAGAATATTCTCATTCTCTATTGAGTATATATGCTCTCGTTCTCATTGACGAATTTACGTTATTCTTGAATTTGCAAAGCATATCATTTTTTCTCTATCGAACTTGTACTTTTTATTTCTTTATACTGTTTTTACAATTAAAATTAAACAAATGGAATCCTATGGAAATAATGAAGTCGACGATGAGTCCTGTGATTCATATGCCAATGGTGATACCAGCGAGAGTGACTTCGATTTCAATTACGATGAACTAGTCGATAACTTAGATGAGCTTGAACTTTCTGATGAAGATTTGGATCTATATGCAGAGAAGCTGAATTCAATGAATGAAAGTTATATCACGGATGGCGGCTTTACCTCAATCTCTCTCAAAGAGCGAACTCCAGTCTCAATCTTTAGAATCTTTTTTACTGAATAAATTTGAAATCTAATTACTGCTCAAACAAACATTTATGAAAAAGGAAAGAAATGAAGTAACAATCAGAAGAAAACCAGTGATTGGAAGGATGTGAGTAAAAAAGATATTGAATCGTTTCTCGGGTTGATTATTCTAATGAGTGTCAATAATTTTGTCAAATATGAAACCTTATTGGAGTAAAGATATAGGATTCCATAATACATTTATTTCTTCGGTCATGTCAAGATATCGTTTTCTTCAAATTGTTTTTAACATACATTTGGCTGATAGCTCATTGAAACCAAAACGAGAATCTAAAGACTGCAGTAAAATTTACAAAGTTAAGAATTTTACTGAAATTTTATGGAGAAATTTCCAAAAAAATGATTACTTTGGCCACTATGGTATTATTTATTCAACTACCAAATCTATTCATGAAAAGAGAAAACCAGTGGAAAAGAAACACCTTTGGGCAAACGTATTGTTTTCGATCTTATATGTGGTCATAATTTTGAAGGAAAACATCTATATTTCGATAACTTTTTTCACTTCTCTCAGATTATTAGAAAAGCTAAAGCTACAGAACATAAAAGCCTGTGAAACTATTAGGGCCAGATCGGGCAGGTATTCAGTCGGATTTTGCCAAGAAAAATAAAATGGAACGAGGAGATTGCAAGTCAAGGATTACATCGAATAGAATTGCCTTCATATGGATGGACACCAAACAGGTTTTTTTTGGCTTCAAATTATCATAAAGACAACGAAGTTGCTCCAATTTCATATCGTTTGAAAAATGGACAACGTATTATAATTGGCTGTTCGAAAGCAGTAAAAGATTACAATCAGTTTTCACATGGAGTTGATCGATTCAGCCAAAGAATATCCTGCTACAATCTCGATCGCAAGCTTAAAAGGAACTGGTTGCGAATGTTTATTTATTTTCTAAATGTATCTATTTTCAACTCATTCATTTGTTATAATTATGAGCTCAAGATAAGTTAATATACTTAAACTACATGGTTTCAGTGGGGAAGTCTCTCTGCTCCGGCAGTGAACGAATGAGTCGTTGAAAACCTTCTTCTGAAAAGAAGTCTAAACTAGCATCACCAAAAACTGTCCTTAATCTTGACAATCAAATGCATTTGCCTGCGAAATGAAAAAGAAGATGTGCTTATTGCAGCACCAAAGAAGCAGATTTTCGATCCAACATCGAGTACTTTACTTGCAAATTACCATTTTGTTTAAAAGATGAATTTTTATTTTATTATTATTATCACAACATTTTCATGTAGCGATTTTGTGTTAAAATAAAATAAAAATGTTGAAAAATGTTGTTCTCGATTAAAAAGTCGGTCCTTATATATATTATAAGTGCATGCGATTGCATCAATATGAGATTAAGGTCAAAGTGGTCAAAATGATTCGAGAAGGTGTAGCAATAGATAGAAGTACAAGAGATACTACTGACCATTTCAAAATAAAAGACGGGTGAGTATTTTTTGAATAACTTTTGAAAGAACCACTGTAGAGAGCTCTGGTTTTCACCGTTAAAAAGAGGAGATGGAGACGCATTGAACTGTATATTACAGAGTAATTTCACCTAGTTTTATCAAGGACTTTAATCGACGTTTTTGAAAACCAATATACTTCGTAAGGTGACTAAGGCCAATTTTAAATAATCAGGTACGCATTCGAACCGCTAAATGAAGATCTCTAAAACTACACAAGGCCCAGACTTTTACACTTATCCGTTCAGAATTTATAGGCATTTTATGTGAAACTCTTAGCCAATTTTTTTGATCAATTTCCGTAAAAAAAAATCACATTTTTGGGTTTTTGGTATTTTTAGAGACACCGATTTTCCGTTATTTTCCAGAAAACTGATCAAGAAAACTTTAGAAAACATTTTAGACACACCTATAATACGCCATTCGGTGCATCTTCATCTCCTATTTTCAACGGTGAAAACCGCAGCTCTCTACAGCGGTTCTATCAAAAGTTATTCAAAAAAAATACCCACCCGCCTTTTTTTTTCAAAATTGGCAATAGTATTTCGTCGATAGTACGCCGAAGTATCAAGAAGAACAAAGTATGCGTCTTTCTCTTTGAGCCACTGTGGCATAGACAGAAATGGTATTGACTTATTAGCCATGCTTTCCCCGTTTTGAAGCTTCGAAAAGCCCGATCTAGATATTGCAACATTTCGTCTTATTTTTAGATTGAAACCATTGTGTCATAATAGACTGGAAAATATGTATTCGGCAACATCTTGGTCGAAAATATTGGACGATATCAATACAATGGGTATCAGTAAAATATACTTTGACCTACTCTTAGGTTTGCATTAATAGAGACTTATACCGATCGATAGAGCTTGCTATTTTGAATCTACTGAATCACATTCTATGCTATTTAAAAAAAATTTGACGACGATAAATCGCAAAATCTTTAAATAATGGCTCATTCTGACTCATCCTAAGCCAATCTGAGCCAAAAATTAAAAAAATTATTTATTCGAAAAGTTAAACCAAATGTGGTTCTGTTATATATTTTTACTCACCAAAGACATCAGGCATTCTTCACAACTTCATATAACACCACGTTTCCAAACATGTATTTCTTAACACTTTCTTCTAAGAGTGAGCTACCTTTTGAAAGATTTTTTAGGTTGTCTGTGTGAAATTTTTTTCGAAACAGCTCAGAGTGAGATAGAATAGACTCAGACTTATAAGTTCTAAAATGGCACTCAGAGGAAGTCAGAGAGTATTTTACTAATAGCCTAATGTATTGGGTTGGCAAGAAAGTTTTGCGTCTTTTTTTATTACCTTAACGCATTGCTGTAACTTTTTTATTTGATAAGCTATCGACTTGATTTAAGTGCCAATGGAAAGAATATTGTCTCGTGAGTAGTTATTTTATTCTTTTGGTTGGGTTTCATACTATTCCTATTACAATTTTGTGATGTAATGACTATGATGTCATATGACCATGAGGTCACATGAGTCTGAGGTCACGTGACCACTACTTGTTCAGTGTTGGAGTACATTCTGGAACTTTCTATGGTTTCTATTCCTCTTTCATGGATGGGTTCTTGCGTAATGTTCTGGAATGTTCTATTTTCAACACTATATATATAGGCTGTCCACTGTTACTCGTTCATTCTTTTCTCAGTTGTACAGTTAGATCGTTAGTTTCCACGTGTGAATAAACAAGCTCCTCAACTCGTGATTTCTGTTTCACATCGAACTCGGCCTGAAGACGTGACACCATTTGCTTTGAATTATATGGATGCACAAAAGCTTCACATTCGACACTGTATGTTGTTTGAATTCGACCGAGGACTCTCAGGAACGGCAGCAGCAAAAGAAATCTGTGAGGTGTACGGCGACGGCTCCACTACCAAATCCACTTGTGATCGCTGGTACGCCAGATTTCGTTCCGGTGACAGGACCTTGACGGACCAACCACGTGAGGGACGCTCTTCGATGGTCAATGACGACGTCTTGGAAAGCCTGCTTGAGACGAACTCCCGGCAGACCACACGTGAACTTGCGAAGCAGCTAGACTGTTCACACACCACAGTCGAAAATCATCTTCATGCGCTTGGCAAGATCCAAAGTATGGAAGTTGGGTGCCACACGAACTGTCCGCCAATGACAAGGTCCAGCGAGTTTCAGCTTGCGTTTTGCTTCTCTCCCGTCACCAAAAAAGCTCTTTTCTTGAGCGGATTGTCACCGGAGATCAGAAGTGGGTCCTCTACATTAACATCGGCCGCAAGAAACAGTGGTTGAACCTGGGCCAGAAGCCGTTGCCGGATGTCAAAGCGGATCTTCATCCAAAGAAGGTTCTCTTGTGTATCTGGTGGAACCTGAAGGGTGTACTTTACTACGAGCTTCTCGACAACGCTACCATCACCGCCGAGGTCTACGCTCATCAATTACAGCGTGTCCAGGAAGCACTGCTTGAAAAACGTCCAATGCTGATCAATGGAAAGGGAGTGATTTTACTTCACAACAACACCCAGCCACACATTGCGAAGATAACGCGAGAAAAAATTCAGAAGTTGGGCTGAGAAGTCCTCCCTAATCCACCATTTTTCTCAGATCTGGCGCCATCGGATTACCATCTATTCCGCTCTCTTTGGAACCATCTAGCTGAGAAACGATTTGAAGACTACGACACTCTCAATTCTGACCTCGGCGCTTTTTTTGACTCAAAAGAGCCAGACTCTTATAAAAACGGGATCTACCAACTGCCGAAAAGATGGGCCACTGTTATTGATAATAACGGCGAATATATTATTGATTGAGGTTGTTTTGTTCTGTTGAAAAATACATTTTTTGTTTAGTAAAAAAAAGACGCAAAACTTTCTTGTCAACCAATAATTTCATAGACAGCTCTCAATGGACAAGAGCTTGTTGATGAACATTTGAATACTGATGGTGATGAAGGCATAATTGTATCATCTAATGATGCATATAAATAAACTTTTGATAAATATCACGTTAGATAATGAAGTGAATATGTTGAATCAAGAATGGTTGCTTGTGAACTTGTCAACTAAGTTACACTCTTACCATAACCAACTGTTTGACCATTTTTGAAAGAACCAGCTAATGTTAGATTTGTGTCATTATTACCGACAACAAATAGAAAACTGTGTGTCCAAAAAAGACATACCAATAAGTACTCGTATCATAATCTATGGAACATTGAAGTGAATCAAGCGTACAATTATATGAAACGAATTGAACAAGAAATGTTTCTTCGTCACTATATGCTAGAACAAAAATAACACCCTCAGGAGAAAAGCCAGTAATGAACTTATTTTAATTGTAAATCAGAACCGAACAGAAATCAATCTGAACTTTTCTTTGAAGAAAATAGAATAACATTGCTAAAAGTATTACTGATATATATATAGGTTTTTTATTTCTTGCATGAATGCAAATCGTGTCATCCTTCACAACCTTTCTTGAAAATTCATATTTTCTCATGTAAAACAGAATACACATTTCCAACATGTATTTATTTATTTTCCTCGATTGAATTCAATTTAATAAAAAGAAAAATCATTTCGTACATTGAATCGGGTATTTCGCTATTCATATGAAACACAGTAGCCAAAGGCAGATTATTGAATTTTTCGATTCATTAAATAGAATCAAATCGTACTGTAAATATACCGAGGATAAAACAGTAGACTTCAAGATTGAGTTCAGATGTCTTTTCAGATTTATTCAATAAAATATGATATAGAAAACAAGTGATATGTTTACTTCTCAAAATAATCAAATAGTTATCCCATTATATCAATTAATGTTGAAGATACTTGTTTAGCTAAATCATCAACTCAAGTAATATCACCATTCGAAAGTAGAATAACATCTAGTCATTTGCCATTATTGTATGAGCAATTCCTAGCATCTATCCACGATGTTCTACTAAATGTCCATTATTCTGATATTGTCAATTCCATATCAAACCATATTGAACATTAGGTTCGTCTTTTGAACTTTCGTGTCGACTACCATATAATATTTCATTAATTGATGATAAATTTTGAAGAAGATCAGAAGAAAAATTATTAAGAAAAGATTGAAGATGAATTGATAAAGAACGAGTTGACACGAAGCATAGCTGATGGATAAACACTAATACCATAATGAGATATATAAAGCCATTCAGTTTCATCCGAAGCCTATAATATGAAAATCTAATATTAATATCTCTTTTAAAAGTAATATTACTTGAACAATATTTATTTGTGATGCTATTTGATAATAAATATTTAGCAATGATACATTGTAAACATAATGTTCAGCTAAAATCAGATATTCTTTCAGTAATAAGTGCATCTAAAGCAGTACCAACATTTCTATAATATGTTATGTTACCTGTTACTTCAGATAACCAACTTGCTTTATTTAATAAATATCGAAGGGTAACATCGATTAAATGTGTTTTAAAGAAATTATCTCCTGGTATTCCATGATAAAATTCTTCTTCATAATTTGATCTAAGACCAGATGAATGTGAAAGAATATGACGCATAGTTATAATTGAATATTGAAACAATGGATGAGATATCCTCATTGTAAACTTCAAATATTGATTAACATCAACATTAAAATTGAGTTGATCTTTTTCAGCTAAGTGATGTTGCTTCAACTGACGATGATTGCTGTCAGGGTGGAGGTGGGTATACTTCTTCAACCGATCCACACCTTGTGTGTTTTTTTGTTCTCGTATTTGATCCATGTTGAAATGAATCAAATTAGGAATTAGCTCATCTGCTATTCAGCCTAATTCTTTTCTTTTTTTAAAACTTTCTCTTAGACTTGCTTATTTAGTAAAACAAGAATTAAAAATGCCCTACCGTATTCAAATGTGAACTATGAAGCAGCTGCTGTTGTTTGAAGAAGTACGTATATCTTCATCAATTTTTACTGAGTCTTTTCGAAATGATACAACCAAGTATCCCACCTATGATGATCTGTTAGATGAGAAGGTATCCAAATTTTAACTCTATATATTTCACCACAACTTCATTATACCGGGCATCTAAATTTGGTAAACAACTTGCAGTTTTTCTTTATCCTAAAACGGTTTTCCCAAGTTCTCGATTTACTTTAAAATCATAATAATCTCTTTTGTTTTATTTTTTCTTGGCTTTTTTATTTAAGAATGCACATATTCTTAAATAATCATAAGAAACGAACATCGTAACAACAATTGAAGCTGCATATGCTTGCAGATCAAGTCTGGACGATACTGAGAGAAGTACTCAAAAATTGTAGAATGCGTATATGACAATTGTAGTCAAAATATAAATAGAATAAATATATTTTAAAGAATAAAACAGCTAATAATGCTATCCGTTAGAATGAACATGCGCAATAAAATAAGAAGGAAATACAAAAAAAAGACAGTAAAAAAGAATATTTCTTGGCAAATGCATCACCAAATTCAAAGAATGAAAATGTGTCGAAAATATTATTCAATATATTTGTACATTTCATCAATTTGCTTTTCAAAATATTTTGCTACTTCAGGTCGTTTTGATTTCATCGTTGGTGTTATAAGATTATTTTCAACTGAAAATTGTTCAGGATGAAGATAAATATCTTTTACCTAAGAGAAAACATCTTTAGTTTTGTTTAAGGCCTTCTAAAAGATTAACATACCATCTCAAAACCTTTTAATAAATTTGATTTTTCCAAATGTTGTATGTCATTGAGAATTAAATCTTTAATTTCTTTCTTCTTACATAATTCTTCCATGTTACCTGAAATGTGATGTTCACTTGCATATTTTAAGAGTTCATTTGGATCTGGAACAATAATAGCTACTGTACGACTCTATCGAAAAACAAAAAAAAATATATCGATTGAATAATAAAATAAAAATTATTTTACCTTATAACTATTACCATAAACAAATGCTTGAGCTATATATCTACTTTGAATATAAATATTTTCAATACGTTCTGGTGCAACATATTCACCCTAAAACATCAAAGAAAACAAAATTTAAAAAAGTTATCTTAGTTCCGATCGACTTCAAATAAGATTTACATCATTCTAGATGAAATGATAGTAAATGATCAATAGATGATAAAAATTAAATTTAAGTATAGTAAAATTGTTACATACTCTACTTTGTATAGAATGTAAATTTTTTGTTACATACAGGTTTTTGTTGTACAAAACATTCCTGCGAGGGTGTGAGTGTGAAGTGTAGATGAAGAGAAGATTTCATCATAATGTTTAGTGTCAATTGAGTTTCTATTGAGAATGAGAGAACTAGATTGAAATGCGCTTATGAGTAGAAGACGCTAACCAATATCGATACTTCAAATCCGTCTTTTTTAAACATTAATTTCTGTGTTTTTGATTTTTCTATTAATGCTTTCGCAATTCAATTTGTTTGTCCTCATTTGATGTTTGATTCCATGTTATAATGAAAAATAGATAGTGTGTTTAAATTCAAAAAAGAAAGTTCTGAAGATATAATTTTTGTTAAAATTCTTATCAGTGCAAAGATAAGAATCAGAACTATTGGCATAACTGCTAACCATATGAACATATGTTGAATTCTACCAAAGGGTAAATGACGAAGTTGTCTATTGATGCCACTTTCCTTCTCATCAAACATGAAAAAAAAATACATACTTGTGATAATTTAAACATATGTTTCTTTCGATCAATAATTTGAAGTTGACCAGTCTATAAAATCAAAAAGAGCTTCATATTATTGTTTTCAAAAACAAGAAAAAAACATCATCTTACTTCTATCCATTTACCAATATCTCCCGTATGTAACCATCCTTCATTATCGATTACTTCTCGTGTTTTTTCTTCATCACGATAATAACCTTTAAATACATTTGGACCTTTAATACATATTTCTCCAACATTATCTTTTGCAAAATATTGCATATCAGGTACATCAACTAATTTAATCATATTACAATGTGCTGGTACTCCGACATGTCCAACAGATGGATCACCAAATAGTTGACATGTTGATAAACTACAACATTCTGTTTGTCCATAGCCTTCAATAACATGAGCACCAGAAACACGTCTAAGAAATTGTAACACTGTTGGTGATAATGGTGCAGCACCACTAAATATTAATTTAATACGTCCACCGAGACTTTTTTGAACCTGTTGTATAATTAAACCATTCAAAGCATTTTGACGTGCTACAGAATCTTGATTAGTATCATTTCCTTGAGCTGATAATGCCGTAGTAGGTAAACTCTGTTGAGATGCCTGTAATTGACGAATCGTTGCTTGAATAGTATCGTGCTAAAACAAAATTATTTTCTTTTATGAAAATCTTTTTTAAGATTAATATGTTTTATTTAGAAAATACATTGTGTGAAAATTCTCTACCAAAATATACTTCGTCTTCAATCCACATCCTTACTGACAGATAACATAGTAGTATGTATTCATTATGCTTATAGCAGATGTCAATGGATTATTTTTCACCTTAATAATCTCAAATATACTGATATTTTTGCTATGTTGAACATAGAATATTATCATACATAGTATGACAGAGTATAATCTTAAAATTATTACGTTTGCAAGAGAGGAAATTTCAATATCTAAAAAATCGATAGACTTCATTCAAGAATTTCTAAAAAACATAAACAAAGAACAAAGATGAAAAAAAAATGCTCTGATTTTTTCAGACAAAAAATACATTTTTCAGGAAGATGATAATAATCATTTCGTTAATGAAAGATTAGACAGAACTTCGACTGACAACTGATACCCACTAAATTCTCCTTACAGAAATCATAATCTGAGTTTCATGAAAATAAAAGAAACAAAAATTCACGCTTAATATTTACCATTCGATTCAAAACTCGAGGTACACTTGGCATAAACGTTGGTTTCAAATGAGCCATATCATCAGAGAGTAGACTTATATCACCTAGATAATAACCAATTTTAAAACCATTACATAAACAATAAAGCTAAAACATATATAGAAAAAAAAAAACATTTTTTGTACAAGTTTCTCGACTATTTACTTCAACCACTTGTTCATATGCATGAGCCAATGGTAAGTATGAAATTAATGTTTCCAATTCAGTCAAAATAGGTTTCTAGATAAAAAAGAAAAGCAAGCATGGTCGGATTTTGATAATAAAAAATGATTTACGAGTAATTCAGTTGCTGTTTGAATCACAGAAATAATATTTTTATGTCTGCACATGGCACCTTTCGGTAAACCTGTTGTACCACTTGTATAACAAATTTGAAATAAATACTTAGGTTTAGGTGGCTACAAATCAAAACTCTATGAAGTTACTATTATCTATTTATTATCTTCTTACATAATGAGCTATTGGTCTTGATTGACCGATTGCCTGAATGAAACACACAAAAAAAAAACAAATATTTGTCAACAAAGATTCATTTTTTTTTCTTATCTTACTAATAATTGTTGATATGTGAAAATTTGAATTCCTCTTCTAGATGCCTTTCTTATCACTTTATGTTGTTTATCCTCGGGTAATCTTTTCACTAATATGATTCGTTCTAATGTTGGAACTTGACGGGCAAGTTTAAGTAAATTCAGAACATTTTCAGCTTTGTCAACAAAAATTGTTCTTAAACCAGCTATAACAAAAACAAACAAGATCGCTTAATAATAAAAAATATATTCATAAACAATTTACTCTGATTTATAATATGAATAAGAGCAGGTTCACCGAGTGTATCATAAAGAGGCACATAAATCATACTATAACAATGACATGCTAAAGCTATAATGAGCCACTATAAAAAGAAAACTAGAAATCAAAAATCTAAATACTCAAATTTAGTAATCATACTTCAACACAATTAACTGCATATATACCAATAAATGTCTTTTGACCATGGTTTTCACCTAATTGAATAAGTGCACTACCAATATTTGTAGCGGCACGTTCGACCTAAAGCATAAAATATTTATTTGAGTGATATGAAATTTTCGATTATTTACTTCTTCATATGTCAACCATATATATTCACCTTTACGATCTACTCGAAAACCTAAACATCGATTGTCTCCTAAAATAGATACATATAAAAATGAAATTTCTTAATAATTCAATATTACCATGTTTTCTTGCAATATGTTTGCCAATTTTAAAACCTTCGTAAACTGTGGTGTAAACACGATCATCGATCGTGGATTTACCAGTTTTATTGAATGGTTGTGAACCAAGTGATGCAGCTACTCGAGCTTCTGGACATCCCTGTGCCTGAAAAGAAAAACGTCATGTTTCTCATTCAAGTACTTTCATATATTATGTTTAATTTAAGATTGAAGTGAATTATAATCGATCACAAAAAAAAGAGAACTAATAATGTTCTAGTATATCCAAAATCATGATACCTTTTTGTTTAATAAAATATATTCTCGTCAATGAAAATGGTTTTATAGCTAAATATTTCTGTAATGTTCAAATTTTTTTTTACGTTGTAATTCTACTAACCCAAGCTGAAACAGTAAGACTCTGCTGATCCATATCTTAATTGATTGCTTCGTTAGGAATGATGACGATGTGTTACACAACCAGTAATAATTGCCAATAAACCACTAATACTTTATATTATCTGCAAAGAAGATTAAAATTTATTTTCCATCATCATTTGCCTCATCTTTTTTTCGATTGCAAGTAGGTATTATATAAACCACGTTAATTAATGTGACTATCAAGCGTAAAATCAACAACGAAATATGTCACAAGCATCGAAACAGAAAAATAAGTGTTTGTACTATATCATGGAGATACTTATAATATGAAAAAAAAGGAAGGAAAGAAAAAAAGCAAAAACCAATCTTACTGGCTTAAAACCCGGTTTGCAGTACAACATAATTGCAAAACATTATCATCATATATGATAAAAATAGATATCGATGAATGACTCACTGAATAAAGTGAATTAATTTTTCTCATTTCACTATCTTTAGAGATAAATCAGTAGTGACAAATCATAATTGGAACAGGGCCGGTCGAAGGTTGAAAACCAGCCGGGTTTTTGCTTGTTTTTTTACCGGCTTTTTTTCTATTATTACAAGATTATGCATTTTTATTCAATAGATGGCGTACATTATAATAGTTGAAAGATTCATATCACTGATTGAAAATTATAGTATCAAAGTGAGAAAGACAGAGTATAAAATTATTGCTAGCTTAATTTTACTGGACTATACCATGCTAAAGGTTTAGCCTGGAGTTTTATAGGTTGTTAATTTTCATCCAATCAGTATCAATACATTTATACACCCTCGTTATGAAAGCAAACACTGTACATATAAATATTGAATTTCTTTTCCTATGATCAAGATCTGCATCAGAACTATAATAGTATCTCAAACAACACTTTACCTAGAATGAAAATCGGAAAACACACAATTTAGACGCCAGTTTGTATATCGTTACTTAACCTAGCCGATTATTATCTTTCTTGAACAGGATTTAACATTATCGGCATTTTCCTGAACGATGACTAGAGACTCATCAAATGGGGTCGATATTTTTTTTATAGAGATTAGAAAAAAAACCGTGAAGTCTTCATTTTTTCCGATCAAAATGATCTAAAGAAAATATTTTCATAGTGAAGTAGAAAACGCAGTTCTTGTCACGAAAAATATTATTCACAAGCTTCCGTGTGTATGTGTTTGCTTCTCGCGATGAGTGTCACTTGCTCATAATATCTCACTTCCTTTGATTTTTATTCTCATAATCTACGCTGATATTTTTCGCCATTTTCATGTTCGAAGAAGAAAAGTCAACTTTTAGAGTTTTCTCCGATTTCTTTGTCAAAAACATAATGACAAAGTCGCTTATGAAAAAATAGCACATCTCTGTCTAACATGTACTTCTTTATTTATGATCGATAATGCGCAATCTACTGCAAAGACTGTCTACTGATCAAATCATTCGGGCACTCTCATAGAGGCGTATCCAGTAGATAGTTCGAATGAGATAGGCATTTTGTGCATCAATGCCATTTTTGCCATAGGCATCTTCGTCATTCATGTATTCATAATTGCCAATCGATATGACAATAGCTGGTTCAATCTGTGATCCTTTGTACCATTCGTTGAACGAAATGATGCTAATCCGTTCAACTTGTGCATTAATCGTGTATTGCCACATAGAATCACAAGTATTTCCATTGTGATGTGCTTTATAACAAGTCGAGCCTTGCACTGCACGGACGTTGACGTATCCAGAACCAAAACTCGCGGAGAAAATCGAATTTTTCTTCTTGAGTCCGTCACCAACGGCTTTGAAGATTGAGCCATCGATATTGTAGGCATTATATCTGTATAGACCATCGAAATGACTTGAACCAATTCGAGAAATATCTGTTGTCTGCTCGAGAACAATAGCATCCAAAGTTGTGCCACGAATACTATCCAACATATGCATCCAACTGGCATCGGTGATTTTCAGATTTTCGAAAATGTAGAAAACTCCTCAAGCTGTTCTATTCCTTTAATGCTTTTAGCCGTACGTTCATTGTATGGTTCGATGTGAAATGCCACTTTAAGACCGTGTTCATGAGCGGCATCGAGAACATTTCTTGTCAGGTGGTCTTCATGCCTACTTTTGCCCTACCAAGATGTGATCAGAATACTAACATTGGCCGATCGAAGCCATGACATCTGTTGAGATAGAACACCGGCGCTCGGACTACTGTATGCTCCAAGTGTGAAATAGAAATTAGCTCCAATATCACTGGGTGGCCAATGACGATCCATTTCTGAATTTCTGTACCATAGATAAGAGAAGATCGATGTTTTCACACAGACCATTTACCAACAAGGCTCCATTGATCAGGACTTGAAGGAACACAATACTGTTAAAAAAATCCTGTTCTCATTCTTTCGTCGATTCAACTAGATAAATGCAGTTTGGAAAAGTCTTTGTTCTGACTCGTAGTTACGTTGCAGACAAATGGTCAAGATAACAGCTCTCATATCACATTACATTATCTTCAGTTCTACACGGTTATCAGACAGATACTGCTTTTGTTGTGGATTGACGAAGCAAAATAATGAATCGAAATAATTTGCGAGGCTATTCTCGTAATAAAAGTTTTAAGACGAGTTTCAAACTTTTATTGGAAAAAGTGAGCAAGATTTTGTCATCAGTTTGTCTAGAGATGTGCAAAAATCAGACTATTGTGTAAATATTCCTCAATGAAAATTAATTAAATATACGTTTATTAAGATATATTCTACCTTTCTACAAAAACAGATATAATGAAGTCACAAAAAAGCATGGAATTACAACAAAAAAAACAGATCATATCACCAATCCAAACATAACATCTTTGAGATTAATTCAATGACTAAAAAAATTTGTACTTGTTTTTCATTAATCTTTTTTTAAAAACTTGTCATCTATTTGTAAAGTTATTTTATGCCAAGCATTATTCATAAGACCTAAAATATTCCATATACCTAATGGAGTATCCGGTTGACTATTGCAATGTGTATCCATGGCACGACAAACAATATCAAATGGTTTAGAAGGTAAATCATTAAAAGGTATATGATAAGTCCATAGAGTCCATGCCCATGCACGCATATAGGGTTGTGCAAGTTGTTCAAGTTGAGCTTGACGCCATGTTTTTCTAAAATAATTTATATTCATCTTTAATAATATAATTTTATCTTGAAGTAAATTCTTTTTAAATTTTCGCTCATCTTCATCTATTATTGAACAATATAAAACATATATTAACATTATTTCTTGATTATACAGCTCGAATTCAAATCCGAAGATATTTATACTCAATAATTAGATTTTTTGTGTTTAATACACTGTATGTTTGAACATTATAAGTATTACTCGAAATTCATGAAATCTTTTTCATCAATTAATAAATTATACTCACCCATGATCAAGACTAATTTGTACATTTTGTATTTGTCTTCCACCTCCACTTAAAGCATAACCTTTAATTGTAAGTTTTTTATTTTTAATATCTTCATCATTTGGTTGAACTGATAAAATTTTAACTTTATTTCCATCATCATTCGATGCTGGATAACAAATAGCTGAATTAACATTTATTTCTTGTAAAGCAGACGTATTATCATAATCAACTTTTTGTGGTTGTTTTATAGATGATGGTAAAAATTTATAATCGAATTTTTGCCAATGACTATCGGCTTCTTTATCCGAAACAATAATTCGATTTAGCCATTTAACACTACGTGCTCCAATTGTACCTGGTACAAGTATACGTAATGGATAACCATGATCTCTTGTTAATGTTTCATCATTCATTTCATATACAATTAAAACATCATCACTCAATGCTTTTTCGATTGGAATTGATGCACCATAACATCTTTCGAAAAAACAAAAAATATTTTAACAACTTACAGATATAATTATTTCGGAAAGTCTTACCTTTTTGGTGTTTCACAATCGAGACCAAAAAATTGAACATATTTTCCTTCTTTATCAAGACCAAATGATTCCAAAACATCACGTAATTTAACACCTGTCCAACGAGCATTTCCTACAGCTCCAACATACCATGGTGCACCTCTTGCTAATCCTTGTTGTTCATTATTTATTGCATAACGACGATTACCAGCACATTGTAATGCTGAAATTATTGTATATGATTGATATTTATCTGTTAAATCATCATATGAAAGTGTATAAGTTGATTTTTCATTACTAATTTCTAATTTATATTCATTGATATTAACAAATGGTACATGCATATGATTTCGTACATAGAATTTTTCAATTGGTGTTATAAATGATGAAACAAGAATACTAGGTTTTGTTTCAGCATTAAAAGGTCTACTAGAACGAATGACAAAATTTTCTTTTCCATCTAATCGTTCAGGATCATATTGAAATAAATCGATAATTTTTTCTAAATCTTTTTCATTAACTTCTCTTTCACCTAGAAAATCATTTTTTGTTTTTTTTTTCAATATAATTATTAAGTAAAATTTTTTTTAATACCTGACGGTAAATTGCCTATTCGATATTCTTCTAAAATTTCATAAACATGATCCATGTCATGCATTGTAAAAATTTTCCAACAACTTTCTAAAGCTTTACCAGCAGATTTGAGAACTAGTTTACCACCAGGATGATTATCAATATATGAACTTATATCATATACACCATCTTTATAAGCAATCCAATAACCTATAGAATAAATATTTTATTAAATTACTTTACTATTTTTAATCGTTGAAAGTTAGTATTGAGATTTAATGAAGCTGTTGAATTTTGAATATACATGTGTTCTACAGAGATGTCTGTTGGAGATTATGTTTTCAAATTTTGTCTTAAAACTCTCACATACAATAACTTGTATGAAAAGATTCATAGCGTTTAGTTTTGAAAAAAAAACTCTAGTTGGAAGATACAAAGTCTTCAGATGGAGGTAGTTTTAAGCAAAACAAAAATTCGAAAAATATGATTTTCTAGAAAACTTGATCTGCCACAGAAGCCTCTAGAAAATTTTAGAAGTACAGTTGTTTCATTTATGATAAAAAAAAGAGAGAGTACTGGAAAAGCATCTATTTCACTCAATTAAATATTACGTTTTCTTGTTCTCTCTCATCTACAGTTGTATTGACAATAGTTACTATTTCTTATTGTAATTTATAATTTTCTGTTCGGAGTTGATATAATTCTGTCGCTGGAATTGCGACATGGATTTTGTTAATATTAATCTTCCTTTTGTTTTTTCCTCTGAAAAGTTGATTTGTTTAGACAAACTAGTATGCTCATCTTCTGCTCTAGCCGAATGTTCATATGAAAACAAAATAAAACTGTATTTCACAAGAATTTTCTATGAGATAAATCATTCATGTATTGTCGCTCTCATGCTTGGATTGAACAAAACTGAAAGAGTTTTGACGATTCAACCATGATCTAGGACGATGAGAAGTACGATAACTGATGATTTTTTTTCTCTTTTGGTGACTGCATCCGGAGCTGTGAACATTAATGATACATTTTTTTTTTAATGATCGTATCTAGTTCTCGACGAGACTAAATTCAAGTAAACTAAGACTTTTATTACAGCTGGAACACAGAAAATGAGAAACTCTATTTCTCTCACACTCTTTCTTGTTTCTTTCTATTTGAAATAAAAATTGCAACATTGGAAGGATTTTCTTATGATAATTATTAAAAAAAAAGGAACTATTGTAATAATCCGGAAAGAACAAATTTCTATCGAAACAAAAAAACAATAGAGAGAAAATCGATTACGGTATTTTCCAATGACTTATTATACAAGATTTTTCTTTTTCTTGAGAAATTTATCTTTCGATTTTTAACAGATCTCAGTTTTATACAAAAAAAAAAAGATAAAACATGTATATATTTGATTTCTTTAATACCTTTCTCTTGTGTTGTATGTTTTGCAACTTCAGACATACTATAAGTTGGTAACGTTGGAATTCGTTCTCCAACTTTAACAGATGTATTTGTTTCTGCATGAATAATTGGTTTATATTTTGAAAATAAATAACCTTTTAGAAAATAAAAATGTTTTATCAACTTACTATTTTATTTATTTATGATTTTACCTGCAATTAATCCACTTGTTAAACTAGCTGTAATAATTTGAGGTTTTAATTTTTGACGAAGAATAAAGGTTAAACGTGATCGCATTTTATTAAGCAATCAGAATTTTTCTATAGAAATCTAAAATAAAGTATAAGTAAATATCTTATTTTAGATGAAAAAGTATTACAACAAAGAATTGAACAAAAAAATGTGCATAAATTCATCTATACAAGTTATCAAATGTATAGAATATGTAAAAAAGAAAATAAGGATAAAATGAATAAGAATAGAAAGCAAAAGAAATACTTCAAAGATTTGTCTGAACGAGAAGAAGACAAGCAACTTTTCAAAATTGTCACAACTCATAGGTAATATACTTTTTCTATTTCGCAAAGTATTATCATAGTATTTTGTTCTTCTCTAGTAAAGTTGTAAGCAGAGTATCTGCTCCAAAGGCTAACTATCTTAGGTCCTTTGCTTTCGTTTGAGGCACTTTTTTATTGGAAACATCTATAACCAATTACGATTTCAATTGTATTCAACTAATTTTTTTAACACCATCTATGTTATTTGAAATAATTGATTCATAGTATTAACCAATGAAAAATGTATTGTTTCTAGTGTGTATAATCAGATATTTGTTGTATTCATTGTTTCTAAAAATATATAGAACATCTGCTGCTTTCAATAGACATACTATTTTAAATTTTGCATAAAAAGACCAATGTATGCAATACACTTTGTTTTGTTGAATAAAATAATGATTTTCTTCCAAGATGATTGTGTAATTTTAATAGAAAAATAATAAAATGTAACTTTTTTTCTATTATTCTCTTATCTTTCTTTGATTATGTAAGAGAGAAAAGAACAGACAGACACTTTGCTTTGGGTTTTTATTAGAAACGCTAGTACCAGACCCTTGATGACTAATACTTTCGTTATCATATTCCAGTGCCCTTGATGTACTTGGTTTATAGTTGTGACAGAATAATGCTTATATTATAAAAGTCTATTAAAATTCGATTCAGAGATGTGAATATGGGTGATGGTTCAAAAAGACCAATTTTTTACGGTTTTTGTAAGCATTATCATTTTTACTTCTATTATCATTAATTTCACTACTGATCATTTGAGAAATCCGAAATGATTTTCAATTTACTATTTCATATCTCGATAAATAAAGAAAATATTATGATAATCATTGTCGAAAGTTAGAATTCGCTTAAATTATAGTTTATGTGTCGGTCATATACCAACTATTGTATTTCAATGCATCACTAGCCATAATTTTTGATATCTTCTGTATACCTGTTTTTCTCTCTTAAAATCATAGAATACATGTTTTTGAAACATGTCAAAACGTATTGCGGTTCATAGAAGTTCAGAAAAAGCTATGCAATGTTTTAAAATACTATAGAAGAATCTAAACATTGTTTTAGTGAAGGTCAGCACCTTCTTCATTGTTAAGGAACTATAAGAAGGTACTCTTGTACCCATCAATCATATATTCATCAACATAGGTTTTGTTTACATACGATAGAATGCATTCTTTACTCATCTTAGCTTTAATTATTCCAAAAAGAAGATGATGATGAAAAAAGAAATATCAGTAAATTGATTTTGCATAATTAAGGATGACTGATAGTTCATGGAAAATTTGCTTAATCAACAATCGGTTTTACCGATTCGTGAAACATTGTTAAGAATGCGATCATCAGAATTTTAATAGATCTATGAAATCTCTTATTCAGAATATTCTACATTATAATTTGTTTTTGTTTGTAGAACAATTATAAATTTACCAAAAGTGTAAGTGTACATCAAGTTCTTCTAAGAAATATTGAAACCTCGATTTTCTAATGAAAAGCCCTAAAAATTGGAACTTTTGCATCACGATCTTAATATATGAACAACTTGGAATTTCGTTCAGTGGTTCTTTTTATTTTTTTTCCTAAATCAGAATATATTTTGCTTAAAAAAATTGAAAGCAAAGAATCAATATAATATACATAAATGAAGTGAAAGAAGTGTTATACAAGGGTTTGGCTAATGATGATAAATTACTTCCAGCTGTTCCATTGAAGTGTTCCTGCAATTTCGGCCAGATATAGTTCGCAACACGACGACCTAACGTAAGACCCTCAATATTGTCCGTCTGAATGTGGTAACCACCCATTATGCGAGAAATACCAGCCATTTGTGCAAAGTCATTGAAGGTTTGAAAAGTGAGAGTGATGTCACACGACAAGTTCATATCTGAGGGTATCTTGCCATCGTACATTTGTATTGTCTTGCAATCGAAATCAGGCTCTGTGAGAGCACCTGCTCTACGTGTCTCTGTTTCTCCAAAGTAATCACTACCAGTAAATAGTTCTAAAATTTTGGCACACGCGGCGCTCACAGTACTATGCCCTGACACATATCCAGGAAACGGAGGCGTGATGAATGTCAGCGGTGAATATGGATGCCAGTCATCGGCTCTCACAGTCGCAACACCTTTTCCGGGGCCAAGCCAGCCCTTGATTTGATTGCCCGTATAATAATGCCGTATGAGTGTCCAAGGGCGAGAAGAATCGTAAACACGTTTTGCATCCCAAGCTGCTATAAATGCATCAAATGCTGCTATCCCAACAGAGAAGAATAACTTGATATCTCGGTCTACATCATTTTTGTCCCGCCTTGATACCATTTGGGCTATTCGGAGCCAGTGTCCGGCTTGTCCGGTAGAGTTTGGACCGTCACGCATGTACTCGACAATTGCTTTTTGTGTTGTCGTGAGATTTGCATTATACGAGATGACCTCATCCGTTTCAATGCGAAGCTGCGACGAGTTAATTTTTGGTGGCGGTTCTGGACGAAACTGGTCGCTCTTTTGAAGGGCGAATGGCTTTACACGATACCAATGGGGTGTGAGGAAGCCGAGTGTGATTTTTCCTCCCTTGGAATCATCGAATTCAATAGGCTGCCAATGATCTGGATCATTGATCTTGCTCACCGAATTTATCGGTTGATAGAAGGTGTAATCGGAATAAGGTACACTGTTAGAGCCCACCTCATCACCGAGCTGATTAGCTCCGTCATGACTGCGATATAGAATGATAGCAGCTGCCACTACGTTACCCACTCCTTGAGGAGTCGTCAGATCAGTCGAATTATCGTTTGGATCGAAGCCTTTCTTGCGCATCTGATCGATCAACCATTCTTTATCATCTTCAAAAACGAACAGCATGACTCTGTAAGCAGCATAGGCGATGGCCTTTTCTCTATTGATGAGAGTACGCTCAATGATTGGTCGGCGCAACTGTTCGCCAAGTCGGGAGCCTACGGCTTTGTCGTTGTAGGCCGCCCACGCGTCATACATCGCAGTTGTGACGATTGCAAGTATACGTGACCCAATTGTTGGCCGAGGACGGTTGCGAATGTGTTCGCGGGCAGTTGCGTCGAGACCGATGTCAAGCCAAAGATATGCAGCAGATGGGATATAACTGTCTCGTTCATCTGTAGCCTTCTCTTTCGATTGTTGCAACAAAGTATGATTTTGTGACAAATTTTTAAAATGGATATGATTTATTGGCAACTCAAGCGTCCTAAAAAAAGGGAACGTAAGATAGGTTACGTGGTTGATTTTCTCATTTTCATATAGTAATATATTCTTTCTCAAACATGTGCGATATTTAAATCAGTGAAATTTATTGAAATACGCCACTCACAAACATAACTGATGGCTAACGGAGAATTTTTCTAGAAGACACAATTAATTCTAGAAGATGACAATACGTGGGTGTGGATGTTTTATTCTTTCAATTCCACGCGCACACACACCTAAACATTTTTTATCAGCTTTTAGAAAATTTTCTCCTCTTTCGAATTATATACGATTTATTAGTAATCATGCATTAATGAATGAAATGACATGAAGGAAAGAAGAAAGGTCTATACATGAAACGTTTGATATTTTCATTGGTTGATCGAAGAAATCCTGTACATAAACTAAAATATTGATTGAAACAGTTTTGGCTTTATTGACATAGAAAGTATATGAAAAAAGAAACGAGAAGCTAAAAGTTTAAATTTATTGGTTTACAGCGTCAGACGAAAGGTCAAAAAAACTTACTAAAACTACTACAGACTATGGTTCAACGTGTTCGTAAGAACCATCGCCACATGTGGTATGATGGATTGTATTAAACAGTTCAATAAAAAATTTTTGTTCTTCATTTTTTTCTAGGACAAAATGAAATGTTTGTATAACTGCGATAATCTTTACATGATATTTGAGTTTATTTACAGGATTTCTTTGATAAATCAATGAAAGTATAAAAAAACTTCGTGTTATTTCGTTTGTGACCACATGATAATAACAAATCATGTATAATTCAAAAGAGGAAATAATTTCCTATTCAGTAGTAAAACATTATCTTCCTAGACTCCTGTCTAAGAAGAAATAATAAGCGTTGCTATTTGTTTTACTACTTTTGCATGATATGTTATTTAATACTTCAGTTCAAGTACTCAACTATTCAGCTGAAGTATTCAAGCATTTAAGTATTCAAGTATTCCGCTATTCAAATTGATGGATCAAGCGAAAAAACACATCTCTCACAATGCGAGTGCCACGTATGTATACACATCATTCTCGAAGCGAAATACTTGAAAACTTGAATTTGAAAGCTGAATTGACGAGTTCGAGAATTGAATTCAACTTTTAATTTCAATGTTACTGAAAAAAAACCAATCGGAAAGATATGGATTTATTCAATGTAAAACATTCCGTGCTCTCAAGTCCATTCTCTCGGATTCGATGCACAAATCTGACTAAACGCAAATCGCCATACTTACCATGGTGGAGCAGCATTACCGGCAACGTTAAATACCCAAGTCATACATATCAGAACTACTGTTACCACTAACAGTACTCGTTCAGTCGACATTACTCTACGACGACAAGTAAAGCTTCTCTAAGTATTTCTAAAATGAATGAAAAAAAATTATTGAAAAGCATTGTTTACGGTCTTAACCAAATCTAATTCGAAATTAATTTACATTTTCTGCATGTCAATAAAGGCTCAATTTCTTTTTTGAGTTTGTGATTAGTTTAACTTAAT